TATGAACATCCACGTCCGTCTTTCCATCCAAAGCCCGGCTATGAACGAAGACGTCGTCAAATTAACTTGGTGCGAAGCCTCACACCGATCACAACAGATTCGTTACATATGTGTTGAACGTTGCAGGGGCGTTACTTAGCCCATGTGGCATCACTAGCCATTCCAGAGCATATAACTTGGGGTTCTCACTGCTGTGTACGGGATGTACTGTTCACGTAGGAGAATCTGATAGAATCCATCCGTCAGATCCATGGACGAAATGATGCTGCTTTTTGCCATACCATCTATGATCACGTCTTTCCTCAGTATCGGCATCTGAGTCGGTACCGTTGCAGCATTTAGCTTGTTGAAAGTGTGCACTATCCGCGATCCTCCTGTGGTCTTGCACGCAAGGGTGGATAGAAGTTGACTCTTTCAAATGACCCGCCGATAAGTGATCGGCACATAATTTGTCGATCGCTGTGACCTGTTCACTAGGCAGTGGCCACTACTTCATGACACAGTACTTCCAGCCCGGTTTAAGCTCGATCTCATGCCGAGTGCCTTTGTCCTTAGGCAACTTGCATGTCACGGATTTAGACAACACGTCCTGTTATTGATCGAATCCTTGTTAAAAGGATTTGCCTGAAGCAAATCCCAAGATTGATACGTTTGTTGCCTAGTTCCGAGTCTTCTCATCGAGGACACTATTATCCATCGATGAGCTGCTGAGAATTCGTTAGTATTCGGCAAATGCTACTGCCGAACGAATGTCGTTCACGTACTCATCCTCCGTGACGAGTACACATATCTGCATGACTTTGCCACTACGCAGATATTGCAAGAACCGTTTCGGTTCTAGCGTTGGCAATTGTATGATCTCCGACGTCAACTTTGGAGGTGCGACCAGATCAAGTGCATAAGCGTCCACACCTAACCCGTCGTTAACCAAGACATTTAATGTCTCGTTTTCTTCCTTAGAACCCATTTCCGCATGCTGCTTTGGATTTATTTTTCAGGTTAATGGGGTCTTGTTACCTCATCAATAAGTGCTTGAAGAATTTTTTACTTAAATAGGTAAGGACTTATTACCTCGACTCTTCTAACTGTGATTGCGCTACCACAACTAAGCAATCTGCGATCGACTCTCCAGCCGATCTAGGATCATCGTGTTGCCCAGTGTTTGCAAACGGTTTATTCTTCCTTGGATGTCGCTCGCTACACATACACCCATGTCCCGATACACTCGACTCCCTCGAGTAGTGGACCTTCGGTACTGCCTGTGCATACGCACAGCCGCCGGCGGATTAACCCACAGTGTAATTGGTTGTCACACCGTTTTCTTGTGCGGTCGTAATTACGACCGTGCCGCAAGTGAGACCATCGAAATCACTTGTAGTATATCCACACGCTTGTGGACGCTTTAAAACGGTAATTAGATGGCTATCTGATGAACACGCGGCAGGCATTCTTACTGATCTATGCTACCAGCTGATCCATGGCTCGCATCTTCTGAGCCATGGCAGACCAGGGATGACGTCAAATTTGTCATCCAACTAAAGAACGATGAAGTCATCATCGTAATGCTCTCGTTGTAGCGCGCAGTCAAGTTCCATTACACGTTTCATTAATGTAATCGAAGCGCCTGCTGCTAGACGCACAGTCATCCTCGTCGGAGGGAACTCTCGCTCAACATAGTTGAGCCTACGATCTCCAAGCGAATGGCGAAGAACAATGTTGTTGACGTACCACATTCTGCTAGGGCACGAATTGACAAATGCCCCGTCACTTCCAAATTCAAGGTGATGAGGTACCCTTCATCACCAAGTGCAGACACACGCAGTGATTGTGAGTCGAAAGCAACTTTCATCAAGGGATTTGCAATTTCTCTTCAATGTTGCTAAACCAGGAGAGTGCTTCGCCCGTACTGGTCCTGACATTTTAACGGTCCGCTACGCTGTTGCAATGTCACAACAATAGTGGACTCGCGTCTGTTGCCCTTCTTGGCAAATAGTTGAATAGTTCGCTCAGTGTTTCGAGACAATGGGCGAAGGGCCATACACTCGTAAGCTTTATGCCTCAACTTCTGACAGCAATTGCACTTCTGCAAATGTGTTATGGATAAAGAGCGAGGTCTCTCGATATCAACATAACAAAAAGCCATAGGTTCTGGGCAATTGACTTCTTGTTGTCTTGGGAGACGATAAGAACCCAACTTAGCATGAGCCTGTCTCAAGCTAAAGTCTTCCTGTTTCGTAACTAATATCGCTTCTTTTAGCGTCTCCAGTTCCAATTGAAACAGGTGAGTCATGACCGGACCTTCCGCAAGGCCATTCATGAACACATTGATCAATGTGTGTTTATGTATTGGATCAGCAGTAATACAATTCGTAAGGGTTCGTATGTGTTGGTCGTAAGTGTGCACATTACGCTAACCCGTCTTGGTTTTTTAAAAGCTTTGGTCGAGTTCTAAACTAAGCTCTTGAAGGTCAAATGTTTGTCGGAGTCGAGTCCTTAAGACCTCTAACGAACCCAACACACATGGGTCGTTTAACTTAAGACCTGATGCCCATTTTTTGGCACTTCATCCAGGTTCGACAGAACAAATGTGACTTGCATTGCTCGTCGACGATGTGACGAGCCCTTTTGGTGTCTAACTCGACGAACCATCTTAGCAGGGATTAATCCTCGACTCCTTTGTACTTTAAGATGTCTTACTTCAAAGTTTTGGGTCGACGCGAGTGTGCCAACCCGGGAAAAGCAGCATGTGCCTGCTGTTTTCTTAAAGTTCGAGCTGTTGATCACCCTGTTCTCTCAAGAGCTATGAATGTTGAGATCCTTGCTGGTGAAGCATAGTTAGTTTCTTTAGTGACTCCTCAACTTCACGTTGTATAAATTTGACGACGGCGGCATATTTTCTATCTGAGTACAATGCGGACAGCATGAAAGAGACGACATGTTCTCTCACGGTTGAGCCCGCTCGTCCGACCGGACTCCATCCGATGTCACTCAAAAAGATATAGATTTCATGCATGGCGTGAAAGCTATCACTATAACCATCCAACATGTTCATGATTGATGTAGGGTTGCGGTCCTTGGACGGAACACAAAGTACTACTAGGTGAAACGGGGCACCCTTTGCTTGGGTGCCACGAAACTTCACGTACACTCGTACGTGCAGAGGAAGCTTATTCACTCAAACAGCTAAGCTGAGCAAAAGGTAAAAAGAGAACTGCATTCAATATAGTCAAGCCAATAATATTACTTCAGTCTTTATCTAACTACATTAATCATCATTGTCGTATGACGACAACCTGCTCACCACTCATTGCGCGCGTCTAGCACCGATTGGTGGTAGCCTTGGTTGATATGTCTTATATCAACCAATCTTTGAGCAGCGCATGAATTTTACTCTCGAAGGGAATAATATTCCTTCAATATTATCTATCTCAGGTAAAATTGGCAGGGAATTGTCACGCTGGACAATCTTTTTATTGACACGTTTTGTAACGGGGCACCCTGAAGCTTGTACTGGTGACAGTACAAGCTACTTATTCTGATGACAGAATAAGGCGGTGCCTCGTAACTTCACGTACACTCGTACGTGCAGAGGAAGACGGTAAGAAGAAGCGAGTACTTGGTTAAAGTAAAAAGTAGAACTGTATTTAGTATAGTTAATGTCTGCAATAAATCACTATTTATCTTCATCTAACTATGTCTAAATACAAATGTGTAAATCAACTATCTGCTCACTACTCAGTGCGTGCGTCTGTTGTGGCGCGTCTTCGTTGGTTGATACAATGGCCTACATCAACCAATTAGGAACTACTCGTAAGTGCTACAGAATATTTGTCCTTATGACAATATTCTGAGAATATAACTCTTATAGTTATATTCTATTAACAATTTCTTATAAATTGTTATGTAACGATTCACCCCGTTACATCACCCCCCCCTTAACCATCAGTTACTTTAGTGACTGATTGACTAAATGGATACTCATCCCAAATCATTTGGGACAGGGTTTGCACTTGTTGGTCCGCGTCCACTTTCCAACATTTCATCGCATGGTTAACAAGCCCATACGATGCGCGAGCAAGGCCGCCGAGAGCGCGTCTGCACGTCTCTGTGCGGACGCCGAAGCAGAAACAACAGCAACTGATGCCCCATCGGTTGCTGAAGCGACCCAGCCTGTGTCACTTGGTGATGCAGGCGCTGGTCATGAAGACACTCGTGTCTTCACAGAGTACGAGCTCGGTGTCTCGTACTCTCCTGATACGGATGACGGATCCGTATCGACGGCGATTGAATCTAAGCCGCCTGCCAAGCGTGGCATGGACGATGCTTTGCGTCGCAGCATCTTTGGTTCATCTGATGAATCAGATGAACCATCGCCGAAGCGAAGGCGCTCGAGGTCGCGAGACTCGGGCGCTAATAGTGGTGTCGGTTCTCCTATGGACACCACTTCGCAACGAGGTGCCAGTACTTCTGTCGGCACATCGCAGGAAGAGCGGGACCGCAATGTCTTGCGTCTCGCTCCAGAGAAGAAGGCATGGATGCCTCCAAAATCCGTCATGGATCACTTGTCGGCGACGACGAGTGATCGTTATCGAACACGATTGTTCGATTCGTCAAGGATCCATCACCTTGACCCCAGCGCGAAAAACTATCGCGCTGAACATGAATTCTTCATCGATGCTTTCTTTAGGCATCGATGGTACAGTGGGAATCACAAACGTGATGGTCCCTCACTACTTTAGGCGTGGAACGCCTATATCCATAACCTCGAGGATGTGGGTCGTGACGCTTGGAACGACAAACTTATCAAAGCTCGTGATAAGTTTGAAAAGCGAACCCCGACAGGTGCACGCTACAAGCTGAATCGTCTGTCAAGGGAGAAAGGATTACCCTGCCTCTCTTGGGGAGACTCGTGCCCATGTTGTGTGAACAACTCTGCACGAGCACCTAAGGAGGCTTACCTCCTTACCAGCCCGTGGTGGCGCGTACGTGTCTCTACTGAGATGTACGAAGGGATTGACAACCTGAAATCCCTTTACGACCGTGCCGGAAAGACTTTCTCCGGCGGTACTTCTGCGGCACAGGATGTGCCGCGTCGTACTGCTCAAACAGACCCAGTACGTCGATCATCAGTTGGGAGCGGGGCTCCCAAGAATCCCAGGACGGGGGATAGCCGCGCCACCGGACGAGATAACTCGTCCGACGTCCGTTCACGTCGCGGTGGTTCAACAGCTGCTCAACTAGATAGAGCTGGCCACCGCGAGAGTCCTCTAATGGAGGTGGAGGAGGAGGAAAGACGCTCCCCACACGATCATATGGATCGGTGTGTTCCCGAGAGCTTCTTTGATCGCGTAACGCAAGGGTTACGCAACGATCTCAAACATGAGCGGAATAGGCGTCTCCAAATGGCGGACACTGCCTCGAAGCATCGAGCTGAGTTTGCCTTTGCTCAGATTTAGAACGAGAGATCTCTGACATCTCTTCGTGACGAGCTAAGGGTAGCTCGTGGGATTGTTGATCGGTCTCGGGCTGAGATAACTGCTCTTCAGACCCTTGTTGATGCCCACCATCGGGAGCACAAGGCTCTCTGCGAGATGCTTGAGCGCAAGGGCGTTCTTCATCGGAAGAAGCAGCGTACTGATGGTACGGCTTAAGCCGACCAACGTAAAACATGGGATGCGTTCGCATCTTACGTGGTAACTCGATCGTGTATGCATTGCCTAGGCGGTGCAATACACGAAATGGGCCGATGTACTTGGGTAGTAGTTTACTGCTATCCAAGTTAGTCACTACATGCTTTGGTAGATTAACCGTAGACAGTAGGACTAAGTCACCTTTATTAAATAAAAGAGTGTTTGCCCTTCCATTCTTTTCAGCGTTTTGCTTTTGCTTATCCACCGCTTCGGCGATGGAGTCTTGCACAAAACGGACTACCGTTTCACGAGCCAGTATGAACTCATCTGATGACTCGTTAGCTTCAGTGTGCTGTGAGCGCACTGCAGCAACATCAACCTTTTCTTCAGTGAGGGCTTCCGCACTCTCACTGGGATCATCTTCTTCAGTGAGGGCTTCCGCACTCTCACTGGCATCATCTTCTTCGATATCGATGTTATCGATATCGGCATCAAACGCAATGACTTCTTCGTCAGAGCGTGATGAGCGTGAACCAATTCGGTTTTTGCTCGCGCGAGTCCCTCCCCCCCTTAAACCAGAGGTACACTCTAGTAAGGTGGGTACACGCGGATGGCGCAAGCCATTCACGTAAAACGGTTTATGTGTCGTGGACGTATGCACCGAGTTGTTGATGGCAAACTCTACCATTGGCAAAAACTCACTCCAACTCTTAAAGGAGTGTACGTATCCTCGAAGTATCTCTTCAAGGAAACGATTGGCACGTTCCGTCTGACCATCTGACTCTGGATGATCAGATGTTGACATCTTCAAGCGCGTTCCGAGTGATTTGAACACGGAACGCCAGAAATCAGCAGTGAATCGTGGATCTCTGTCTGATACGAGTTCACGGGGCAACCCATGAAGTCGGAAGATGGTGTCAATAAAGACACAAGCACAGCCACTTGCCGTGATTGTCTCTGGTACAGCCACAAGGTGTACCATTTTGCTGAATCTGTCAACAAATACGAGAATACCCGTATTCCCGCGTGCGTCTTTGGGTAACCCGAAGACGAAATCCATTGAGATGGATTCCCAGCACTCAGCCGGAACCGGTAGAGGCTGTAATGGTGCACGCAGTGAAGGACTTGACTTCACTCGTTGACAGACTTCGCATGCGCGAACATACTTTCGCACAAACTGATACTGGCGGGGCCAGTAAAAGTCTCGACTTACCGTGAGATATGTTTTCTCTCGGCCACGATGTCCTCCTATAGGAGCATCGTGATACTCGAACATGATCCGCAAACGCAGATCAGTATCATCTGGAATGACAACGCGTGGTGTGTCACCAGAAACGGCTGTATAGTACAGTAAACCGTTACGAGTAGTGTATCGATCTGATGCAGATCGATACGCAGGCGACAATCGTTTCAGCGATTCTCGGGATGGTTGGGAGAGATGTGTCAACAACTTCACTATCTCACCATCTTGGGCGTATGCCCGCCTCACATCATCATACAACGTTGTAGATGGGACTGAGGACGTCATAACCGCAACAGTGACTGTCTCACTGTTGGGTTTCGCGACTGTTTCAAAGTCGGGACGACGTGAGAGTGCATCAGCGACGACATTAAGTCGTCCTGGTTTGTACTCGACCGTAAAGTTGCATTCTGCAAAGAATGACAACCACCGCGCCATTCGTTGTGAAAGGTGCGGGCTGTTCACTGCCGTGCGTAACGACGCATGGTCAGTGTAAACAACGAAGGGTCTATCTCCTAATAGATAGACTCTGAACTTCGCGAGTGCATACTTCATGGCAAGGAGTTCCTTGTCATGCACTGGATAGTTCCGCTCAGCTGGTTGCAGCTGACGCGACTGATAGCAGACGACGCGTTCAACGCCTTCAAGATCGTACTGCATTAATGCACAGCCGATTGCAAAATCGCTGGCATCACAGACCACATGAAATGGCCTGTCCTGATCGGCTATTGCTAGGACTGGGGATTGTATCAAGCTCTGCTTGATACCATCAAAGGAGCGCTGACATTCAGCGTTCCATAACCACCTCTCGTTCTTTTTTTAACAAACGAGAGAGGTGCACTGTCATCTCGGCGTAATTGCGTGAATACTTATGCAAATACGCCGCTAGCCCAAGGAATTTTCGAAGACCTTTAACATCAACCGGCACAGGCCAGTCGGTGATCGCCTTGATCTTTTCGGGATCAGGACGTACACCGTTCTTACCAACGATGCACCCAAGAAGTGGTATTTCGCTTGCTGCAAATATACACTTCTTGAGGTTAGCATACAATTGATGCTTTCGCATGATTGTAAGAACTTGTCGGACGTGGTACCTGTGAACCTCAACGTCCGACTTTCCATCCATAGCTCGACTATGGATGAATACGTCATCGAAATAACTCGGCGCGAATTCTCGTACTGGTCTCAACAGATGTGATACACATCTGTTGAACGTGGCAGGGGCATTACTGAGCCCTTGTGGCATTACTAGCCATTCCCAGAGCATGCCGCTAGGCGCGCTAACTGCGGTATAGGGTATATCCCGTTCCCGCATAAGGATTTGATAGAAGCCATCCATCAAATCCATGGACGAAAAGATGGTACTCTTTGACATACCATCAATGATTACGTCCTTCCTCGGTATCGGCGTCTGAGCCGGTACCGTTGCAGCGTTCAATTTGTTGAACGCATGCACTATCCGCCACCCTCCTGTTGCTTTTCGCACACAGAAGGTCGGAGAGCTATGTGGGGAAGTTGATTCCCTCACATGGCCCGCAGCTAAACGATCGGCAAAGAACTTGTCGATCGCAAGTACTTGTTCACGAGGCAGTGGCCACTGCTTCATGACACAGTACTTCGAGCCTGGTTTAAGCTCGACCTCGTGTCGAATACCTTTATCCTTCGGTAATTCGCACGGAACAGTTTCAGGGAATACATCCTTGAATTCAACCAAATCTTCATAGAGAGGATTTTTCTTGAGCGATTCCCATGATTGGGAGTCATATCGCTCAACTCGTGTCTTTTCATCTAGGACACTCTCGTCCATAGATGAACTACTGAGAACTCTCTCGCTCTCAGTAAACACTGTTGCTGACCTTATGTCGGTTACACACTCGTCGTCAGCGACGAGTATGCAGATCTGCTTGACTTTGCCACTACGCAGATCACGCAAGAACCTTTTGTGTTCGAGCGTTGGCAACTGAGTGATCTCCGAAGTTAACTTCGGAGGCGCAATCAGATCAAGTGTATAAGCGCCTACACTTGATCCGTTATTGACTATGACATTCAATGTCTCTGTCATTTCCTGGGGACTTATTACCTCAGGCTTCGAAGGACTTATTCCTTCGTCTTCCCGGGGACTTATTCCCGCGGGTTTCGGGGAACTTATTTCCGCCGTATTTGTAATCTTGGGACTTATTCCCTTTACTTCCTCTAGCTGGGGTTGCGCAACCACAGCGAGATCCTCTACGAAAGACTCTCCAGTCGATCTAGGATTATCGTTTCGCTTAACCTGAGCGATCGATTGTTTCTCTTCTAGATGTTCCCCGCTAGGGATACATCTTTGTCCCAGTCCACCCGACTTATTCGAGTGGTGGACCTTCGGCGCAGCCTGTGTTTCCTCACAGCCGCCGGAACTTTGCTCCGAAGTGTAACCGTTTGGTACACTAAGGTTTTGTGCAGTCGTACTAACGACCGTACCACAAGTGAGGCCATCGCACTCACTCGTAGTACATCCACACGCTTGTGGACGCTCCAAAACGTTCATCAGATGGCCATCTGATGAACAAGCGGCAGGCATCGTTACTGTCCGATGTTGCCAGTTTACTCGTGGTTCGTACCTTCTGAGCCACGGTATTCCAAGGATGACATCAAATTTGTCATCCAAATCCAATACGATAAAGTCATCGTCATATTGGGTATCTTCTAGCGTATAGTGGATCTTCACTATACGCTTCATGACGGTTACGGATGCGCCTGTCGCAAGACGTACCGTCATCCTCGTAGGAGGTGTGTCACATTCACTGAATTTAAAGTGACCATCTTCTAGCGATTGGCGTCGCACAAAATTGTTGGACGCCCCACAATCGACTAGAGCTCGAAGGGACAACTTATTCGTCACTTCGAGTTTCAAGGTAATGAGTGAGACCTCATTACCTAGAGCAGCAACGCACAACGTTTGTGTGTTGGGAGCAACCTTCATCAAGAGGCCTACAAATTCTCTTGACGTTGCTAGACCAGTAGGGTGCTCCGCACCTACTGATCCTGTCCGTTTTTTGACGGTCCATCCCGTTGTTGCGTCTTTGCACCAACTGCGGACCCTCGTCCCTGCCCCTTTCTCATGGGTGGACGATCACTACGCCCAGTGTCTCGAGACACTGGACGAGGGGCACTACACTCGTAAGCGTAGTGTCCTGTCTTTTGACATCTGTTGCATCTCTGCAACTTCTTGTAGCCTGTAGAGCGAGCCTTCTCGCTCTCTACATAACAGAGTTCCATCGGCTCTGGACCTCCGTTGTCATATCGTCTCGGTTGACGATATGATGTCGAGCTGGCGCGAGCCTGTCTCAGACTGAAGTCTTCCTGCTCCGCAATGGAAATGGCTTGTTCTAGTGAATCTAGTTCAAGCCGGAACAGGTGAGTCTTGACGGGACCATCCGCAAGACCCTGCATGAACACCGAAACCAACGTGTGTTCATCCACCGGATTGGAATTTATACAACTCGTGAGATGTCGTATATGTTGAGCGTAAGCGTGCACATCACGCTTACCCTGCTTGAGCTTCAAGAGTTCGGTTCGAGCCCTGAACTCAGCTCTAGGCGGTTCAAACGTTTGTCTGAGCCGCGACTTGAAGACTTCCAACGACCCAAACGCATACGGGTCGTGCAACTTGAGCCCCAGTGCCCAAGTCTTGGCACGTCCTGCCAGATTTGACTGGGCAAATGCAACTTGCATATCCCCGTCGTCGATGCGACGCGCCCTTATGGCGTCATCCAATTCGACGAACCATCTCAAGAGGGAGTCTTCTTCGACCCCCCTATACTTTGAGATGTCAATCTTCAAAGTCTCGGGCCGACGCGAGTGCATCGACCCGCCAGCAGCAGCCTGCTGCTGTCTCAACAGTTCAAACTGTTGAGCACCTTGTTCTCTCAACAACTCTGCTTGTTGAGAACCTTGTTGGTGAAGCAAGGCTACTTTCTCGCGTTCTGCGTCAAGTTCATTTTGAATGAACTTGGCGATAGTAGCATGTTGGGCATCTCTATTGAGAGCCTCTAGCATGACGCTAACAGCATGGATGCCCATGGTCGAACCCATTCGTTCAACCGCATCCCATTCGACATCGCTCAAATGGGAGTAGCCGTCACGCGTAGCGTGAAAGCTTTGGTCATCTTCATCATCCAACATATTCATGTTGGATGTGAACGCGGTCCTTGGACGGACTACGAAGTGCTACCAGGTGTAACGGGGTACCCTGAAGCTTGTACTGGTGACAGTACAAGCTACTTATTCTGATAACAGAATAAGGCGGTGCCTCGTAACTTTACGTACACTCGTACGTGCAGAGGAAGACGGTAAGAAGAAGCGAGTACTTGGTTAAAGTAAAAAGTAGAACTGTATTTAGTATAGTTAATGTCTGCAATAAATCACTATTTATCTTCATCTAACTATGCCTAAATACAAATGTGTAAATCAACTATCTGCTCACTACTCATTGCGTGTGTCTGTCGTGGCGCGTCTTCGCTGGTTGATATAATGGCCTATATCAACCAATTAGGAACTACTCGTAAGTGCTACAGAATATTTGTCCTTATGACAATATTCTGAGAATATAACTCTTATAGTTATATTCTATTAACAATTTCTTATAAATTGTTATGTAACGGTTCACCCCGTTACATGTTTGGTGTCAATATCATGTCACGGACTAACCCCGGACATTGTGACTGCAGCGACGGCAACGTCAATATATAACGGTGCCTCACCCGCATTCACATCTATCGGATAGTAGGGAGTATGAACACGATGTAGCAATCAGAAGGAGGAAAGATGCAAACAGCATGAGGAACGTAGCAACTCACCGTTGTACGATAAGCTGTTCTACCAGCTGGTGTTGTTTCAAGATTGGGTCAGCCCTCGTGTGTAGTCACTGACACTTCGTATCAGTAGCATATCGGGGTCACGACCGAGCAAGCACTCATCTACGGCTCACATTACCCTTCCTATATCTCGTATCTGATCGTGACGATTGAGCATCGTCACGCAAGCTGCCATCTATAGTTTAGTAACTATCGATCGCTAGCACTTCGTCACAGCGTGTGTCGCTTTGTATGCCATCTCTAGTTGCTGCTTATCACACCAAAACGCTCTCCGAGCACTCATTCTAGTCATGTTTGCATGACTACACTAATCAGTCATCTAAAAGCGACGATGATAGCGGCGCACTCACGGACAGCCATTTTGCTGTAGCATGAAAACGCTCAACATTGCTTCGAGCTTGATGTGGCAAGTCCCGGACGCCATTACGATGAATGAATGCGTGCTCGCGGGTTGGTCAAGGTGCTCTTGCAGAAACGATCAAGGCTAAAGTGGCGTAGTTTTTGCAATTGCTTTGACCCCTCACTCCTCAGTGAGCTCTCAATGCACAAATTTGAGCGAACGGTAACGCATTGCGCTGGCGATGTTGAGCACCCAATGGTAACCGCTATCGCCATCGAAAAAAACGCCGCTCAGCCAAGACAGTCAATACGCATGAATACTAGCGCAAACCTCGGCCTTGGCGTGTACACATCCTCTTCAACCTACCAACCACAACAATAACGCGCAGTCAAAACGAAGTGCCATGCACTTTATTATGGGAACCTGAGTAGGTCGGTCTGTGGTTTGTTACTTGAAGCACAGCTGGCATTGTTTTTTTGGAGAGCCGGTGGCAGCGTGCTTCTAGGTATCTAAGGTTTAGTATCAGGGCGAGTCTAAAAGTTAATTGCTGTGTACGCGCAAGCTGCGTCAGTCAAGTCTGGTTACTTGTCGTGCACTGGAATAGTCTCGTAAAAAACATGAGCCATCTACGTGATCTCGAGAATAATCCCGACGCCCCTGCTTCAAAGCGGCACAAAGTGAGCAAAACGATAGAGTCTTGTATCGTGCGAAGATTCGACACTCGTAAACGACTGGCGTGGAGTGAGTTTCTAGCAACGAGGTGTTTCCTGCACGTTCCAGAAGACTTGTTCGACGTCTTTGAGCTGGCATCGGAACTATATCCCGATCGTCCATGCGGTAGGTAGACGATATCTGGCTGCCTGACTCAAAAGTGGTTGGCGCCTAACGAATGTGATGGTGTTGCTAAGTGCAGAGGCTTTTGTGGCTACGCTTGGAATTCGGCTCTGTGGACCATTTGACTTGTTGGCTACGGCGGATCAGGAGGAAGTGGTCGTAGACAAACCTTTGTATCTGCATGGACGCTTCTTCATCGATCCCCCGGAGGTGGCCACAGTGATGGCTGATAGCTGCAGTGATGTGGGTCGACACTGGGGATATTTTAGGTAGCAGCTGACTGCTGGGTGAGTTGGTGAATGAATGGTGGTGGTGGATTGACGGACTTGCCTCTTGTTGCCCAGAGACGCTCCTGATCAAGTACCAGAGTATGTCGTTTGTGCCGAGAACAGTCGCGAGTGCAAGTTTGATATCGTCGGAGGCAGTCTCTTTGATGTCCTGCAAAGACGATTACTAGAACGCCGATCGACGCTTGGGGGTGATGTCAAGACAGCACATCTACTTGAGAAGATTGAGACTCACTGCAATGAATCAGCATGTGTTCGAGGAAGAGCCGTGGCAGCACTTCGGGCGAAAAGGGCAAAGACCAGCGTCGCTACGTCGCTCCATCACCTCGGCATTGTGGTCCCGCTCGATGTGAAGACGAACACAGGATACCGCGAACTGCCTACTACCGGAAAAGACCTTGCAGACCTGCTGCAGCAACTCAAAAGTACCAGTAGCAAGAACTCGCCGGCGCGTCACCGACTGAGTGACCTGGTGACACGCGCAACGATTGCAAGTGACGAGTGCGACTTTGGCACGGGTCTCTTGCTTGGCCTTGACGTTTTTACTGCTGGGTCATGCCTTGAGGTACGTCACCCACAGAGACTATTGTATCTTTATCGCTGTGATTCAACCCAGTGCATTGTTGGTCTGTAGAAACAGGCACTGCAACTACTGCGCGTGGCTTATCTGCTACTGCGTCGCACTGACTTCTACAAAGTTGCATCGGGCCACTGCAAATACCGCAATGAGGCTGACCCGAGCGCACCAATCGATTCTATCACTTCTTCAGGTCCTAAGACTCTGAATGAAGAATCTGAAGCTACGACAATTAAGCTTCCGCCATCACCTGTCACTTTACACCGTGCTGGCGGATCAATAGATGCTGCATGGAACTGAGTGTGATCAGCACTGGATCCCGCTAATAAGTGCGCACAATATCATAAATCCGCGACGTGTTTCAAAGAAAACGCTTTTTTATAAAGCCATACGTTTGTCGACTCACTCCGATTGTGGCGAATGCGGGTGTATACAGCGCTAACACGCCTCTTCAAATACGAAACGTCCCCTAAATCCTTGTTGAAATTGGTTGGTCATCAGTGCATATCAATAGACATCGGTGCCTGTCGAAGTCAGCATTCCTAGGACACCCCTTCACGTAAAACGTGTCACGATCCATTACACTGAAGTCGAAATGGCTGCGCACAAGAAAGAAGCTATTGCCATCGAGCAGCAGGAACTTGCTCCAATGGAGAAGTCCATGTGGTACAAGGAAGCGCTAACAGAGGACTTGTACCTGTCCGCGGCCCTCAAGACGATTTCGTTCGAAGCCAAGTCAAAGTTCCAGACCATGCAGATCATTGAGACGCACTCGTTTGGCAAGACGCTCGTGCTGGATGGCAAGACGCAATCGGCCAAGAGCGATGAAGCCATTTACCACGAAACACTCGTCCACCCAGCACTTTTGGCTCATCCGAACCCCAAGACTGTCTACATTGGCGGTGGTGGCGAGTTCGCAACAGCTCGGGAGGTGCTCAAGCACAAGTCGGTCGAGAAGGTCGTGATGGTCGACATTGATGAACTTGTGTGCAACATGTGCCGTGAAAAGATGCCGGAGTGGGCCGATGGTGCCTTTGAAGACCCGCGGCTCGAAGTGCATTACACGGACGCCCACGCTTTCCTCGAGCAATACGACGGTACATTCGATGTCATTATCATGGACATTGCCGACCCTATTGAAGCTGGACCTGGCTACGTGCTGTACACGGAGGAGTTCTACCAATATGCCGTCACCAAGCTCAACAAAGGTGGCTTCATGGTCACGCAGTCCGGTCCAGGTGCCGTGTACAATTGGCACGAGTGCTTCTCGTCCATCTATCGTACGCTCAAGACCAACTTCAATACGGTCATGCCGTACACGGTGGACATTCCGTCGTTCGGCTGCTCCTGGGCGTTCAACATGGCCACGAACTTGGACGACGGCGGCGACAGCAAAGCTACTGTAGCAAGTATCCGTGAACGCAGCATCGTGACGACGGACGAACTCATTGAGACGCGTATTGGTAAACCACTGGTGTCTCTCGACGGGGTGAGCCACTTGGGTCTCTTCGGCCTGCCCAAGATCGTGCGTGAAGCTCTCCAGAACGAGACCCGTATCATTACAGTGGACAACCCCGTGTTTATGTACTAACAACTCAGTCTCCGTAACGGTGCTCGCTATATTCTGCATCCCGAGCCGCGTCCAGTCAAGAAAACAGTGCGAGCACTCTTACCGTCTTCTTTCTAAGACCTGCGTTAGCTTACGCGTCATCCTTCTCCTCTTCCTTGCTCTCCCCGACCTCAAAGCGCTCGTAGGCCGCCACGGACACGTCGAGGCCCAACTTGGTCGCTTGTTGCGCTACAAAGGCGCCCACTTTCGGGTTCCCCTCTTCAACCAAGTGGTCCTGCTCGAGCAACGTGACCTCGCCAAAGAACTTGGCCAGCCGTCCATCCGTCATCTTGGCCACAATGTGCGGCGGTTTGCCGGAATCTTTCACCTGCTCCGTTAAAAACGCGCGCTCCTTGTCCACAACCGTCTGCGGCACCATCTCCCGATTGAGAAAGCGCGGCCGCGCAGCCACAACGTGCATGGCCAAGCGCCGACCAAGCTCCTGGACACCCGCGATCTGGTCGGCCGACGCTGTTTTGCTTGGAAACTGGAGCGCTACCAGCGCCCCGGCACGACCGAGACCAGGAGCGGCTATATTGTGCACGTAGCTGCATATGAGACCTTCCGGAAGCTGGAATTGGACAGCACGTGTAGCCACGACGTTCTCCCCAACAACGCCGACCAGCTCCGGCACCTTGTCCGCCACGGTCGACCCGTCCACGTCCACGACCGCCAATTGGTCGGCCGACAAAAAGTCGGTTACGACCGACCGACCGGCCGACAAAATGACTGGTTCAGAGGTTGTCAGTGCGTCGGCTACGCACCGAACTAGCGCCTGGAACGTGTCGTTCATGGCGACAAAGTCCGTCTCACTATTAACCTCGACCATGGCGGCAGATAGGCCGTTCTCAGTCACGTGGATGCCCACGAGCCCTTCGGCCGTACATCGTCCAGCTTTTTTGCCGGCCGACGCGATGCCTTTTTTCCGCAGCCACTCAAAGGCGGCTGGGAAATCGCCTTCGGTGGCGACGAGGGCGTTGCGAACGTCTTGGAGCGGAGCCTGCGATTCGGTGCGCAGCTTCTTGACAGCGGCAATGTCCGGTTTGTACGTGCTCAGACAGCGGGATGAATGCAGCAACATGGGGCGTACCCAGCGAGAGAGAGACGGTAGGACCATGATGCAGTCGAAAATACGCGAATGGGACGGTTTTCGTCGGTCACGAGATAGATTACTTACAAACCGATAACCTCTCGAAAGAGTGACACAATGAGGTATGTGACGTGTGCTATGCCAGGCACGCTTTCATGACTGTAACAATAGAGTCGATTATCGTAATCTTGGGAATTGAATGTCGGCTCGTATCAGGTCGCCTTGATCACAGCGTGTTGGGACGGTAGCATCGTACGTAGCAAGCTGTACAACCAAACGTTAGCATCTGTGCAAACTTCGATATGGGACTCGCGTGGCAATAAGTTTGTTAGTTCTGTAAACTTGTGTTTAATGTGGCAACGAGCATACTCCTCCTGTCGATAATGCCACTCTCGAATCTGACAACACCTTCTTTCGCCTATCGCGGTGGCGTCCTGCGCTTTATATAATTCTGTACTTGTTTGCCTGATCATCAGTCGTGCTACATGACATTCCATTTTGAAACACACACCTTAGCGCGAACTCGACTACGCTTTGATTCTACCCTCCTCTCTCAATCGTTAGTCGAGTAGGCGCAGCAAAGAGTCGGACCAAAGAGTGTCCCCGATAATTTTCAGATATTGTTCGTATTGGTCGTGTTGCCCTTCCGACTGTTAAATGCTTCCTCTTGTAGCTGTAGGTCAGCGTTTTTGCCCGTTTACTGCTCAAGGCGGCAGCCAATACCGACGAAATGCTCACAACGTACAGGTTTTCGTAAGGCAATCCATACAAATGACTTGAACCTTGTCACACTGTAAGTCTGGCACAAGTAATAAGCGCAAGACAGCGTTGCTATATCATTTTACGGACGTGACTCCTCGGAACGCAAACAAACGGCCATTTGAGCAGTTCCCACTATTCAAGCTGCACGCGAATATCACACGGCAGTCGTTGTACTGATAAGTGCAATAACACTCACCATCCTGAAGACCGACCAACAACTGTTTACATCAGAAGTCTGCATCGTAGGTGTGGCATGCTTTCCTACCCTTTGCGACATGCAGGACTCCTATAATTTGCTTCTTTGGTCGAGACACGTGGCTAGGAGATCGACATGTTGTTCCTTGTGCAAGTCAGACGACAATAAGCGAAACACAACCGTGTCTCACTCCATATTTGGTTGCAACACTAGACACGTTTAGTAACAAGCCTTACCAATTGCATACCCTCAAAACTACGCGCAACGACACTATTTGTCTTGCAGCTCAAGTCGAATTTGATGGATTGGGTCCTGAACGTACGTGAGGACATGAACTGCAGCAATACTTTCACTACAGAAAGCTGCATCTAAAGTCTTGCTAGCGACAAACTCCGACACGAAGTGCTCACTGCATGTCCACACCATAGTGCGATGCAGTCTGCACGCGACGTTTATTGGCGATCGATCGACATCATCTCCAAGCAAGGCTGTCCATACCTATTTGTTAAACACGCTACACACGGCATCGATGTCGCACATGCATCTGTTCTCAAAGAGCGTAACGTGGTAATCGATACATGCACGCGCTTGACGTCAACTGATAGAAGCACGTCGACGAAGTGATAGCGGATCACATACATCTTATTATATCTGCATTTCTTTCTCAGTGCTAGGCAATATACCCCACTGCGATCATAAGTGAACCCAGATCCCAATGTCAATGTTTATAGGTAGAAGTCGCTGACACCGATGCGTTACTCTCACGTTTTACGCCGGAGTTCCTAACACAGCGCATCTTACAGCTGAAAGCTCTAGCAGTATGTACAAGGGTAAACACACAAGCACAGACTCCAACGGCAAGGTGTATTGGATCATTCATTTGAACATCTAAAAATCTCAACAGATAGACTTGACCACCCACTCACTACCTTGGCACTTACTTCTTCATCGGAATCATGTCGACGTGGTACTTGTTGCGGAAATATGACCGCACAGGACCAAGCACAACGACGTACTCGAAGAGAATATTCGTGAAGGCGTTGCCCAGAATCAAGCCAAGGAACTTGACTCGGAAGCTCAGCGGCATCGGGATATCAGGCAGCCCGACAACATTCGTGCTACTCGAAATACGGAAGCGATCCATGACGATACTTGGCTCGCCCAGAAGCATGTACATGTCGAGAACTCCAAGCACTGCGAAGAATGCGAGCAGCATGTTGTTGCGCCAAATCGGTTGACGGTACGTTGAGCCAAAGCTGAAGACCCAAGCGGAAATATGCTGCTGGAAAATCACGATGAAGAAGAGCACTGTCGACAAGTGGTTGTCTGACATCAGCCACCACTGTGCGACGTTCACGCTGTCAGGCGAAAACGGGCAATACCAGACTTGACTTGACAGCATGTGGATCGCGCAGCTCAGGTAAATGATGTTGATAGCCTGCTGTCCGATGACGGATAACAACGTCGTAGGTCCAATCAGACTCGATGTCGGTCGGGTCGCCTTCAATTCATCGAGCGGCTTCGATAGCGTGATGACGTACGAGCAGCCAACCAGCATGAAGCCTTCCACAAGAATCCAGCACCATTGCGACAGGCTGATGGCATGATAGTACATGAACAGACGAAAGCACGATCCAATGAGGCCGTACATGATGAGGAACTTCACGGATGCGAACGACGTGGCCACACTACAACGCCCTTCGCGGCACAAATCAACCACTGACTGAATGGACTTGTCCTTGCTTGTAAACGGTGACACCACTGACGCTTCGGCATCACTGAGAGCAACACCAGCGTGAGCGAAGCGCAACGCACCGCAATCGTTGCCACCATCACCGCACATACCAGTCACCGCGCCCGTCTCCATGTGCAGCTTCACACACTCGACCTTACCGTCAGGCGTCATACGACTGAATATGCGAATGTTCAGCAGCATTTCCCCGATCTCGCCTGTACTAACCAGATAATCAAACGCCACACCTGTCACAGCCAGCTCCACGTCCTCGCCCACCTCTACCAGGTGCTTCACCTGCGCCGAGTTATACTCTTCACCCGAGTCCACGTCACGCCACACGAGCTGTGCTGGCTCCGGCTTCGACACCATCTCACCTAATATCACACGCGAGCTGGACTCCACCATGCCGCTTTGACGTGCGATGTAGCAACCACACATAGCATTGTCGCCTGTGATCATGACCGTGCGGATGTCGCCACCTTTGAGCTTCGCAATAGCATCAGCCGTGTCTGGCTTCAGCTCGTTTCGGAACAAGATCAAGCCCAAGAGCGACAGGTTCTCGTCCACGGCGTCCCGATTGGTGGCAAAGCTCATCACCTGGTCGTACGTCCACTCCTGCGGCAGCTCACGGTACGACAGACCAAGCACGTAGCAACCGTCCTTTGCGAGACGATCAGCCACATTCTTGTAGTCATCCGGCACACTGGCAGCCGTGCTGAGCTGCTGCATGCGCTCGTACGAGCCTTTGCAGAACACGTAGTACTTGCCACTCTTGCGGTTGCGCACCACGACACTCATGGACATGCGGTGATGGTCAAAGTCATAGCGCTTGATGAACTCCAGCTCGAGTTCCCGATCCATGTTCGACCTCACATACGGTTGCTCGCCTTCCTTCTCTACCAGCGTCCACCCAGTGGAAGTGAACATGCGCACTTCTACTTCGTTACCCACGAGACGATCCTCGAGCGAGCCTACAGAGTGACACGTCGTGAGTGCATACAGCAGCTCCTCAGATGACGGTGCATCGTTGACGTCGCTGGCGATTGGGGTAAACCTCGCGTCTTTCACTGGTTGGACGCCCAGGAAGTCTAGACCTTGCTTCGTGAGTGTGCCCGTCTTGTCGAAGCAGAAGATGCGCACCTTGCCGCACAGCGTGATACGCTGCACATTCAGTGAGAAAATGCCCTGTTTCTCGAGACGCTGCGAGGCATTCACTTGCCCGACCGTAATGACCACAGGAAGCAGTGGACTAATGACACAGGACAACAGGAAGATAGCATAGCAGAACGAAGCATATCGGTTGCTCAGCTTCCCGTTTCCCAGAAGGAAGTGAATCACGAGGATACAGGCAATGAAAGCGTAGACAAGCAGCAGCGCGATCAGGACTTTCAGGTGCTCGTTGTACTTGAAGCGCATGGGGATCGGGAACAAAATCGACTGGATCAACTGGCCCTTGGTCGTGTGTGCGCCTGTGGTCTGCACGATAGCCAAAATCTCTTCATTGCGACCAGAAGATAGTACACGAGTACCGGCGAACAACGTGTGCTTCTTGCTGCCCTTCTCAGGATCGTACACCTCGACGCTACACTCTGGAATCGGGAACTTCTGCACGGGCATCGATTCACCCGTCAACATCGACTCATCGCACACCGTCGTGCCTTTGACGATAGCCATATCGCATGGGGCTAACCAGTCTTCCGGCACCCGCACCAGATCTCCAGGTGCCAGATCCGGCGACGACATCTTACGCCACTCGCCGCCACGAAAAACCATCACATCTGTTCGGTAACGGGTCATCTTGACAATAGAGGACTGGATCTGACGTTGCGTGAAAATGTTCACTGCTGCAGCTCCTAGCACGACGACGGTCATGACAATGCCCATGTTCCAGTACGTAAAGTAGTACCAGACGTAGTAGCACATGACCTGGTAGATGTAAAAAAGTTTGAAAAATTCCTGCGCAATCGAGACCAGGAGAGATGGCATCTCGACATCAACAGAGTTCGGTCCAACCGTGTTGATACGAAGTCTCGCTTCCATGTCCGACAAACCACCAACTTCTTGTCGCATATCGTCGTACGTACGTCCAAGTGCTACGACGCCAGGCACAAACCGCTGTGCATTTTCCTCGTAGATGTAACGCAGGTGCTGGAACTCGATGATCCGTAGACCGTCCTCTGTTATCACTGGGACCGTGGTGCGATAGCCGCCGAGTCTTCCCTTCGGTGCGAAATAGTTCTCGACTTTGGCTACAAAGTCGGATACACCCGATCGATCGGACAGCATCACTTCTGTCTCATCTCGTTTGAGCATGTAGACAAAGTCGCACTGCTTCAGTGGCACCCGCAGACGGAAGAAGTTGAGGATCCGGTCTTGCAGAGCCACGATAATCACAAACCAGATCGCCGTGATGACCCACATGATGACGAACACAAGTGCATTGTCCTCTGTTGCGTCAAAGAGCGGCGGGTCAAAGTTGCCGTAGTAGTCGACAATTACGATGACAAGGAGGACGTTCAAAGCAACGGATGCCACCACGACACACCCAAGTACGAATGACCCGAGCGTTGAGCTCGTGAACCCCGTCTGTAGAATATCCTCAGCAACGTCAAGCTGCATGTGCGTGTCCGAGACACAAGCACTGGAGAACTGACTCGTGGCATCTTTTGCAACCGCGCGCGACTGCAGCTGTGGCGTCGGCAGGAGTTTCTTGTTCATCTCGTTCACCGACCTGTTGGCATTCTCGTGGATCTTCTTGAAGACAGCCCAGCACGCTAGCACGAGGAAGAAGACGAGGTACACGAGGTAGACGACCACTAAGGGCGTCTCTCTGAATGTTGTGAAGCGAGCGTCAGAAACCGTAGAGACGGATTTGCACGCAGCTTTTAGGTCCGTGTCCACTGCACCGTCAACCTGCATGAGGCTATAGCAGCGAGCTCCAATAGGAAAGGAGGCATTGTTATTCCGGACATTGTCCGCGTAGTTCCAATAGACCGTGCTGTCCTGCGACGCTGCAGCAAGAGATGAGTTGGTGTCGGCACACTGCAAGGCTTCAGTCAAGGCGCCCGTTTCCGGGTTCACAATAGCCTGGACGCGACAGATAGTATCAGGCTTGTCATAGTAAAACTTCCGGGTGCTGGGATGGTACATTGTGTACGGGAAGTTCACTTGACGTTGCTGGGCCCATCCCGTGACATAGTACGACTCGTACTCGCCACCCGATGGACGATTGTACTTGGTAAAGAGCTCTTTGACTGTCGTCGAGTACTCGCAGCAGTAGTACTCAGGACTGTGTCGAATAGGACAAGCAGCAAAGTCCATCTGATGGGCTGCTGCAGCGTCCACTTGTACAGGAGCTAGAGCAGCTGTCACCAGCATCCACCGGACGGACGAGGTCCAGCGTGACATCTTCCGGGTTCGATGTTGAAAGGCACGTGCGTAACTTGGGGGATGTAATAGTTCGTGATGAAACGACTGGTTGGTCGATGCCAATTCGGAATCCAATGGTGAATGTGAGGGCGACAGTGGAAATTGACAAGTGAGCGGAATCCGGCGACATCGACGTCGTTGATTCAAGCAAACCGCAGTATCTCGCTCTCCACCATCTCTTCTGATACTCCCACGAGACTGTCACACAAGAAAAGCCGAAAAGGGTCAGACGCTTTATGGTCGATACCGCCGGTTGGGAAGGAAGTAATAACTGACAACCTATTCAGGTGTGACTTTTCATGCTCTGAAATCCCTCCCCGAGGTGGATGCCGATAGACACGTGAATGTCGCTTTCCTCTACTAGACATGAAGCCAGAAGCGAGACGTGCTAAGGGCGACTTGTCAGATCGGACCGAGCGACGCTTGATCGATCTCGAAATTCTCCCTGATACTTCTCTGATACATTTCTCACCGATGCAACTTCGTTTCAGCAATGCGGAGAACATTTGCATTCAACTGCAAGGACACGAATTGGTGCACTCGTTCAGTGCTTCTTGACGGTAAAATGCGCTCGCAATAGTCACGAAGAGCCATGATTGCTATCTGAAAGGAGCAAACGAAGTGCTGAAAGTCGACAAACACAGGGTTCTAATCGCGCAGTAGAGCTGGTGTGGGACCACCACGTCCACCTCCCTGACACCTATCTTTCCTGCAGATTCAACCTGTCTACGGTGCATCGTTCGCGTCTGGAATAAGACGCAAAGCGGATCAGCAACGCGATGGAGTCCCGCCTCGATTGAATTCACTTGATGACTTCGCGCGTATGGATTTGCTGATCACTGGAATGCTGCGCGGTGAACGGACAGCGGGTGGCGAACTCAGCACAGACATGCATACAGGTGCAACATTGGCTCGAGATGGTTAACTACAGACATTCCTGTGTCGTCTTCTGCTTGCTCTACTCGTATAATTATAGTTCCGACCTCCGCGCAATGTTGTCAACCTGAGCTTTTGGTACTTACTCCATTCAGGTCGAATTTTGCGCTAAGGTTTGATGCGCAGTGGCATTAAGTTGTCATGTGCGCGAGATAGCCTTGGAGATCAGATGGGAAGGGAGTCGCAGTGCACGACGCTGGATGTAGGTTGCAGTACATTTGTCATGGACTGACAGTCGCATCTCTCTCAGCTACTTCCTGGATGTCAGCCCTTGAAGTTAGAAAGCGACACTGCTGCAGGTACTACATGACGGAAACCATTAGCGCTGTAGGACTACTCCTGCTCCACGAGCTCACGAATGTGTCGTGCGTTGATTCTCCGTCTGCATGTTTCTTCTGGACTTCGCAGCACTGGCTGGAGTGCATTCCGATCTGGATATCATCAGGCCACGACGACCCGAACGTTCAAACAGCTGCGGGATCAGATCGAAACAATATTGTAAGGTCACCCCACACGAGCAGGCGTGGACACATGACGAAACCGATCATGTTCACGGTCAAGGGCAGTCGGTCAAATAGCATCATGGCCATTGGTCTTGTTTATGCATGAGTTCTCAGTTATGATCATGCTATTGACTAAGGACCTCACCGACGATGTACAAGTCGACCATCAAAAAGAACTTCGTAAATTGAGCTTGACCAAAGTCGAAGTCGAGAAACGGCTCCCGTGCTACCAACGATCACCGCAGTGCGCGAGAAACTGCTGCGTCATTTTCCGGATGAGAGGGTGATGAGCAAAAACGTATGTGCACGTTTCGATGGTGCGGATGCACCTCATCCGTTACTACCAAACCGTCCGAGCATTTAAGATGGGCAGCTGAAACTGCATGATTTTGTCGTTGAACTAAGCGAAGCAGCCGCTGCCACGAACAATGCGTGAGTACAGTGCAGTAAGTGGAGAATGGAGCTGAAGAATTGGTAGCATGTAGCCATTCAGCTTTTACTCGTGCCGCATATCGGCACCGCCTCTCTCGTCTAAACAAAAATCGATGGACCGTCCTCCCTCCACTAACTGTAAGCCTCGGTGGTTACATGCTTTATAAGTTCGCAGAGGCTATTGGCTATTGGATTATGGTTGCGTCGTTACGTGGGAAATTTTACCAAGTAAATTACAAAAGAGTAAGAATATTTTTACAAGAGTTTTAAATTAAATATTTACCAGATACACTATTGTAAAGTCGATAATCAAAGGATTAAAAAGTGGGAACTTTATCCGGAACCACTCGCTCCTCTTGCACCCCAAATTAAAGTCTACCCATCATCAGCAGAACAATAGCTTCAAAGACCACTAACACAGGGTCTCACATTTTGTTTGTAAAATTAGATCAGGTTGTACTTCATGGTCCGAGACACTAAGCCATCGTAGTCGTGTGCTGAGGTTGTTGTTCTTCGCTAGGAAATTGGTGCAATTTGTCTCTGTCCATTGATAAACTATACACTCTATTAGAGAGGACGAGAGAGCCCAGACGGAGCTCAATAACCAAGAGATGTTGAAAGCAGTGTAGAAGGAGAAGAAATACAATGAAGGTGCTGAATTAGGGGGGGGGCATTGTAGACAGATTGACCAAGTACGAGCAGATTCCCATCTTAGATAGTGCCTGCACTTCACATTTTCTGTCCCAGGAAACCCACCGTTACATGTCCAAGCTACTCTGCAGCCTACAGGATGACATTCGCAGTGTCAGCGCCACACAAATCACTCTCGATGCTTGGTTTAAACAGGTTTACTCTCCCACATTTGTACAAATTCTCCATCTAGAAATTTAAATCTCGCTTCGTGATTATCAGCTACAAGCTAAATGTTCGTGACCATAGAACGACCTCGGTGGACGCTCAACCCCATAAACTAGCAGTGGTTATTAGTTATCGCGGGGAAAGTTATCAGAAGGGGGACCTGTAGCTTGCTTAGACTCGGAGTGTCAGCAGTTTGAGCACGACCAGTCGGGACGCTGAACACAAACTTTTTCCTGGCTTTCTTGATCTGCAACGTGCAGCCGCAAAGGACTCGCAGGTTCGTAGTACCTTCTGCGATGATGACGACGAACATCAGTGTATATTTTTTGGCATCAAAGAAGTCGAGTCTCTCATTCTTTAAGAGCGCAACATGATTTCCACAGCATCCATTTTTGGCTTGATGACATGGTACCTTAAGGCTGTAGAATTCCTACACATCAGTGTTCATGTGGTCGGTTCCTTTTAACATCGACGGTTGTCCCCGTTCCTCACTACATACCCCCTTCTCAACGATCGCAATGCCTAGATGGGTGGCAGATGCGAAAGAAAGCAGACTGATTTATTTTGCTGCCATAGATGGGGCTAGGAGCCGGAAGGGTGCCCACAACAGCGAATGATGCCGTGACTTCAATCTTGATGTTCAGCTGCTGCGACCTGGTATCACACTCTCAAATGCAGTTTTGGCTGCTACGCGATTCTTGTCTTTGCGACATACGTATACAAGAGGAGGTGTCTGCTCTTTTGGGTCCAGCGAACACATGGGCGTCCCGCTCCCGCAATGTCGTCGTCATCGACAATCACTCTACGCCACACGGTGTCGCCGAAACACGTCTCGGGGCAACTGCTGATCGCGTCGTATATAAAATACCTTTGCCGAGATCCACCCTCGTCAGCTACGAATCGTTGCAGAAATGTAGAAGATCGATAGCGCTTGTACAATCGACTTTCCACATCCACCAATGCTATTGATATTCTGATGGCCGATGATGCAAGCTAACGCAAATATCTTCAGTCGGATACGGCCTACGTCGGACAGAGGAGGATCCTATGGGGCTATGCTAAAGCGCACAATGGTTGGGTATGTACCATATTCTGATGGAACAATTTGGTGCGACTATCGTTCATAACTTCTGGACAAACAGGCAGCGTGATCTTGCAGCGTGATCTTGATCAGCACTGGAGATACCTCATAGTGTGCAATCGAATATCGAGCGCATATTCCCGGATACCGCCGACACCATCAGATGAGCGTTACTGATTGTACACAAAGCAGGAGGCGGGTGCAACCAGAGGTCGTGGAAGTCCAACAAGTTCTCCTTCGGCAACTCCGTATGTTAGCTATCAAGGAACAGAGGCGAATAGCGAGGTGGAATTTAGTAGTCACCTTCGCCTCACGCAGTAAATTGTTTGGGGCGACCCATCAGAACGTGTTAGTCGGTAAGGTACCGCTCTCATCGCTAAGAGTACAGGAGTGGCTGCGGAGTTTCAGAATCTTGTCAGCCCAAAGATCAACGGATAACCATTGTCTCTCACATGTCGTAAGGTCGGCCCCACCGACTACGTCTTTGCCATTCGAAGCTGTTCGCAGCCTGGAATGAAGGATTCTTTGTGATCAAGAGAAGTCACCGCAACGTTAAACTCTTTCGTATTGGCAACTTCTTGTCGAGCTGAGGCCCCACGGCACCTGACGTCGTGCAGCAGATATGAATCCTTAGGGTCTACAGCTTACTTCCGTCATTGTAGTACATGAATTGGCTTTTAGAGCATACTTGTTAAAAACTTGGTGTTAGTCCACTGCTTGTGTTCTCGTTTGGGAAAGTTGGCGGTGCACTAATGATACCTGCATGGTGCAAGTTCAAGCACTTAGGTGTTCTTCACCTGACTCGATCGTCGTCCTGAGGAGCGCTTTGAGTTTGTACACACATAGTGGCATGTTGCATTTTTGCAAAGTCATATGCTGTTCACGCACACCTAAGTTCTGTGAGATCGATCTCAGCTGTGGTATTCAAAGGACAGGCAAATGTGAAAGAACTGAAAGTCGGCGAGTTTTCCTACAACGACTGTCCCTCGACGCTAGCTCGTCATTAACTGCAGCTCTGCAGGTAAACTCGTCTTCTAGACGAGCATACTTAACGTGCACAAAACAACTTTAGCGCGCGAGGCTGGATATATCGGCGCGTCTGTGAGTAGATTACGAATTTCCCTTTAGACTCTCTTGGGCTATCCTACCATTCCAGGTCTACCAAAACC